AACCGTGTAAAATGATAATAATAAAAATATGACGGGGTTACTGGTGCAGTGTAGCCACGACGGTGGGTGGATACAGTTCTCACGGTCTTGGATTTATGTCTCGAGCAAAACACAACACGACACCGACGACGCTGCAGATCGTTATTCATTTTTCACCCGCCTCTCTTAACATTCTACCGGACGTTTATCCATAAAGTAGTAGTAACATGGCCAAGTTGTGTAGTCGTTCTTCGGTACAGTTTTTTTACGTCGATTTGAGAAAACCAGAGGGACAGAAGTTTCAATTTTATCGCGCGTATCCAGTAAAAGTCAATACCTTTATTTTTCGAGAATCGGTTCGGAAATAATTAACAAAAAATCATTTTCTCGCGTAACGGCAATCAATCGTACAGAAGAAACTGCTGAACCACTCGGGTTGTGTGTCCGTTCCCGATAAGATAGCGTAAAAACGGCGTTGCACATTTATATTGGAAATCCTTGTCTAGTGACACCTTATACGGCACGAAAATCAAAACCGAGTAGCGCCCGCCGATGATAAACGAACGTAGATCCGTTATCAACGCGGAATGCTGCAGATGTACACACTCTCATAAACTGCATCTCTATACGGATGGCAGTTACTAGGGGTTATCTTAAAATTATTAAAAGCCTCAGCGATTAATAAGAAGCATTGCCATGTCGCGTGCGCTGTGCGGTCACACCGATAAATGCGCTTTAGTACTCGTATTATTTTCTGTTGAGTGGTTGCCAGCCGTTTTTTTTTATTTTCATTAGGTTTTTTTACTGCTGTACAGACGTTGATGGTTTTATGTAGTTCCTTATCTTAACTTAACGAGTATTGGTTATCGAAGCTGCCCTTGAAAATCTATATTTTACAGCCAATTACAAGAAAATAGTAACAGATAATGTCCATAGCCAAATTTTTAAATATGTACGTTTTTATTGTTTGTTATCATAAAAATGTTTAATTATTAAGTATAAACACTGAAAATCTAACTGACGTTGTCGTTGAAATTATCAGGTAGAACTATGATGTTTTAACGCTACTCTATTAATGATTGATGATTTCACATGCACGCGTTTAGTTTATACTGAAAGTCTTGTTTCCGATACGGTATCTAAATTACAAAATATAGCTGTTAGATAGTTTAATGGTTAAGCACACACTCGACGTATACGTATTACACATGTGTATATATTTTATTCCCACAATATGTGAAGAGTTCGGAAACTTGAACGCGAGTAAATGAAGTGTTCACTACAAATGTAATACACGCTAATAGGTTTTGGTGTGTTGGTTCTCTTTCGTATGTAATTATAACGCTCACATTACTAACTATTACTATAATTAATAATAGTTATGATGCTGTTTTCTGGCGACCGGTTACTAAAAAAATATTCGCATATACTTAAAAAAGACCCGCACGTTAACTATTCACGTGTTACACTTAAGCGTATAAAATTAATTATTTTTATCGCATAACCAAGATTTATGTTTTGCAACGTTCAAAATTAACTTTTGATATTGATTTGAACTAGAACTAGAAGGACTCAACTGGATTCGCCTCGCAGTTATTGTTTTATGTTTACAATTCGGTCGTAGAAATCGTTCACAGTCTATCCGGCCGTTTAACTAAGTACAATTGCTGTGGTGTACTACTAAGCGATTGTTTGTCGGTTCGAAGACCATACCGAACAGTGCGTTTTCATAATATATTACATTTAATTGTTTTCCGTCGATCCTTCATTAGAGCCATAAATCGTCGAGCCACGAGTTTAAGTCATCATCGCGGTCATTATAAAAAAAATAAAGAATGAACAAAGACGGAGAACGCCGCGAATGGCATGCCGAAAGCAAAGAGGTAACGTTGCACAGATGAAAATATGTCCGTTTGCAATAAAACACCACACTAATGGGCGGGCAATTAAACAGGCCTTTTTCTTAAAGAGGTCACATTAACCGCCGACCCGAAGGTGTTTGCGTACATACTTCAGAGACTATTATGCGTGTGCGTAGATTAAATAAAAATACTAACTGCGGTATTGTCTTCGCGGGGTCTATGCGACGTCCGAGCCGCCGCCGCGGGACGTAAGTACAGCCTATTTATTATTGGCCGTTTATTAAGCCGCTCAATATTTGTAGTTCAGAGTTCGCAAGCTTAATGCGACCCGAAACGCTCGACGACCGCTATTACACCGTTGACTCTTGTACTCCACCCGTCCGCCGGTACTACGTCGATAATCCGTTAGGTGATCACCGGTATCGCTTACGGTACTGCACTGGTGACAAAAAGAAATTATAATAGCATTATGTCGGGATAGATAGTCCGCCTAAGCGTTATTTAGACGTCTCCCGCTGAAGCCGCAGTGGCGGCCCTATGGGACACCGCGCCGTGACGTCGGCGACCATCAATCACTAAGCGGTTGTCGTCGCAAGTAATAACGTCCTCCTGTCGGTCGGATCTGACCGGCGAAATAAAAAAAAAAATTCCAAGCGACCGGACCCGCGCGGCTTTTACTAGAACGCTCTATGCATCTGAATAAATTTTCATATCCAATCCTTTGGAAAGCTGGAAACTGCACGACGGGCCTGTAGAAACGACGGCTTTTTCAGTAAAACTACTTTGCTAAAGATATTTACGAAATACACTTACTGATTAACCGGCGCAATATAAAAAACTAATTAAACTACGACGGTAAACTACTATAGGATAAAAAATGTATTATTAACGGGCGCCGCGGTCTGGTTCAAATACAACCGGCTCGTGTAACATATTATAAATGGCACAGGTGTCAGACGCGTATAACACAACGAGAAACTATGGGAAACTTGCTGTATCATCCAATGTTAAGTTGTATAATATCGATAAAAAATCATTTTATACATCGGGAAAATTAAATGACGACCCGTTAAAACCTCTCGCGTGTAAACGGCCAAAAATAAATCTATTTTATATCATTTATTTTTTTTTTTTTACCAATAATCCATCTAGTCCGTTCATTCGATAATACTATGCGCGTTGAAGATGAAAATCCGAGTACAATCATAACGTCTGAACGTAAAATCAAAAACGTACTTTCAAACGAAATGCGGTCGGATTAATTACACGTGTATAATATAAAAATCAAAAAACGGGCTTGCAGTTAGTCCGAAGGGAAATATTGGTTACGGATAATTGCGGTATAATTTCCTACGCGGATAATTGTATAATTCGAAGGAACCTCTGGTCAGAATTTTACATCAATCTTGCACCCGTAGCTATATACTTATATAGATACAATAGTAGGATGGTCGTGTTGGCTATGAAATTGCACGGGGTCAGGGATGCTTGGCAAGAGCCGCAAAAAATTATAAAAAATTACAGTAAAAACGTACGACCTTACACGCATGTTTCGGTTCCGTCGCAGCATTAATTTTTACTATTATTTTTTATTATTATAGTTATTAAATTCTATAATAACTCTTAATACTGTACTTCATTGCCAAGTCAATAAAATAAAAGACGCTGACAATTTTACATTAGACGGTTGTATTTTATCATCACTAAAACGACTTACTTAAATGTATAATATATTCAAACAAGTCTGTTATAAGAATAGAATGTAAAAATTTGTAAGTTGCTCTGCGAATGTGTAAATAAATACAACATTTTCACTCAAAGTGCTACAGTATGTACAACAACTTTGATTTTTTCATCAAACAGCATTAACAGCAATAATATGTACATCAAAATAAAAAAGAAAACTAACTAACCGGGACTAAGGCATGGTATTTGGCGACACTCCAAAAGTTGATCGACGCATGTATAAATAGGTCGAATCATTCATATTTGCATTATTATTATTTAACTTGAAATGTTTAAAACTTAATACCCTAAATAGTATGCAGAACCCGTAGAAACCCGTAAGTTTTGTATTTCTATGAATATTTGATTTTGTAACTCGGTCATCAATCAATACCCTACAAGATTCAATGGAATTATTTCTTTTTGCGTAGGAGCACTCTACCTCAGATCTGTTATTATGTGTATGACAATGCTTAATATAGTGAAATTTTTAATAGTCCTGAACCCACAGAACACAAGTTTTACGGTGTTTATTATTTTCATAGCGCAGCAGTAACTAACCTCTTAATAATTCATGCAAATTAAGTATACAAATTTATACTTTTGAAATCACATACAAAAAATAAATAAAGAAAATAGACAGTATTTCATTTTATACAAATAGTTATGATATTGCGTTCAAATTAAAGTCATTAATCACAAATGTTTAAAATTTCCAAACGTCTAAGTCAAAGATAGGATAGTCAATGTGAGAGGAAATAAAATTTGTTCTTATGTATAACCTTCATCGTGAAATAATCCTGAACACGCCAATATCAATGATCACTAAAAAACTCATCAAAGGTAATTCAATCGTAATACATAGTTTCTATTTATTTTACAGTATTATGTACTTACTTATAAAATAATTAGATTCCACCTGTATGTTATTGCTGATTACTAAAAAGTAAAGCGTTACCAATTAATTTATTTACAATAGTACTTTAATGGTACACCGTTAAATCCAATAATTAATACGTTAAGTATGACCATACAATTAAATAAAATTTAAAATAATTTATAGGGAATATGTTTTTTTTTAATATAAACTAATTACTCACCAAGTAACGAACAATCTATTCACAGTGATAATTAAACAATCAACTAATAATATGTTTTACTAACCTCCTCAGTATAAAAGACCTCGATTTGTTTCCTCAACTAACGCTCTCTGTTTTAATATTATCAACATCCATGACTTAATAGTTGCCGTGAAGGTGGTTTATTAAATTTCGAATCCAATTAAAATTGTAATAACTCAACAACTCAAAAATGTAAAACCTATGAACAGCTAATTATAATATATTTTTATGTACACTACTTTGCATGAATATATTCATGTTTCTTTTTCCGACAAGATTTTTTTTTAGTAAATTACTTGTTATTTGTTTACAGGCACTCAGTGGGTTTTTGATGATGATGACACAAAACGGTAAACTGCTGTACATATCAGATAACGCTGCCGAGTACTTAGGCCACTCCATGGTAAGCATAGCAATTTCAATTGTATTACAAGACCTGAATAGTGCAATTATAAAATTACTACTCTCTCAGTATGCTATAATATTTCAAACTGTAGATTAGCCACTCCACATTTTGTAAATTAGTATCAATAACATTTGTTTTGTAACACGCGGTTGACCTATGCCGGTCGGGGTTAAAGTTGCTGTCAATGGATACGAAATGAAAAGCGGCAAAAAAACAATTACCTAATTTCTAGACCGGTCCGATTTCCATATCCGAGCGCATTTAAAAGAATATTAAGAACGAGAACTGTACAATAATTATGATTCGAAAAAAAATGTATATTGGAAACAGGTTTTGTGGTCACTGCTCGCGAGCCCGTAGGCTCTGCCCTGACGCCCACGCCTTTCACCCGCAACAGTACAATATACATGTGTCGTTAGTTTCGAGATACCAAAACTGCACTAGCTTTCCGGAATAATAATAACATACACATAATAATGTGTTTCTCTCTTTCGTTCGCTTCTCTATTACGGCTGTTAATGGAAAAACGGGTATTGGTTATTTATTGCCGGTAATTTACCTACGGAATTTTTTACTCTGTGAATACCTTTTGTTTTTGCACACCACAGCCTATATACAATGAGCTTACGGGTGCGAAGCACAGTTCTTAGTTACGCGTCCGACGGATGATGGAATGCACAGATTATATCTATACTCGATTCGTACACCTTAAATATTAATTAAATGTATTTAATCAGCTCTAGAGAGTTGCTTTCAAATTTACTAACGCGTCAACATTGACTAAGTGTGCCTATCCTATCAAATGTATAAATCTAAAGTTTGTGAAGCCCCTCCGAGTGTAGTACACAATAAGCACCGTTTTTCCGAAGACTACACGAATTTTAAACACCGAGAAATATTTTCAAATTAATTAGCAATCCATAGAAGCTAAAATCCATTTCTAACGTCTTCCTTTCACTCTTCCACTTAACTATCCGAGTTGCTGCGGAACTTGATTCAGTTATGACACGTATTAAAAAATAACGACGGCTACAACTAATATTATATGTGCATAATAAAACTCTCGTGCATTAGGTTATGAGTCTGACATTACATGTTTATCGATGCAAAAACAGTATCTTTTGAGATCGTCGAGATAAAATGATCTCCGGAAATCCGTTACAAACGACCGATTCACCCACACGTCGTTAGTACCTTACAAGCCAGTCGTAAAAAAAACCTCAACGACTATTAAACACATCACAGTATTGCTCGTACATCGAAATTAACCGCACCCCCGACGATCGTTTTATGGCCATTGGGTTAACCAACGCTGGCGTTGTACGGGGGTGGTAACAGCGTATTGACCGTAATATATTGTTAAAAAATTCAATTAGCATAATATCGGACGTCGGGATCTAACAGCACGGCGGTTTATGAGCGAAAGTTAATTTGTTTATTATTTTCTATTTTCCGTAGACCATGCACATGCATAGGTCTCGCGGTGTTTATGGAAAACCACTTTGACGGTGCACAGTATACAATAGTCTGCAGCCGCCGAAAAACAGCTCATCCATAACTCCTACGCCATTTACGACTGCCTACTCTATCCTACCGTAAAACCACCGTTAAATCATCATCGCCCCAGGATGAAACAATAACAATAACAGTATTAATGCTTTCAGAACATGCCCATACAGACAAATCCCGCACGCGCCTTCGTTTGGCAGCAACACTTCTTTACTGTGCTGTGGTCTCGTACACCACCGGAGTAATATTTTGTGTACCCAACTGTACTTGACCACATTGTAGGCGTATTGTTTTTGTACTTATTATCGTTATTACACGCGTATACAATAATAACATTACGTTCTAAGGTTTCTTAGCTGCTGACGCGCGCAAATTCCGATTCTGGTCCTCCTCTAGAGAAGCGTCAATGTGAAATACAGACTACAATGTTGTTATTATGTGTCCAAAGAGACGTATAATTATTACACGTCGCTGTATTCGTGCTGCCCGCGGACCAACTTTACTCGCCTTTGTGTGACCACCACAGTCGCCGCAGTGTAAAGATATGCGGCATAGAGTAAAAATAATACATTCATATTATCAAATCAAGTGCACTATTAATACAGTAATATAGATACTTGTCAAAATAAGCCGACTGAGTTCAGAATAAGAAAACAAAAAATATTTCAAAAAAAAAAAAAACAATTTTACAATGCATATACATTATCAATTATTATTTTCACCGCCCTCTCGTTTGAATACACAATTAACTTTATCGGTCATCATCAGCTACACGAAAAATTTCCGTCAAACGCGCCCATATTATAAATAATGTTAAAAGCCATATTTCCATAAAATAAGAAATATAAAATACGACATAATATGATTCCTATAAAATCCCAAATCGTATTAAAAAGCAGGATATTTTTACACACGAACAATTATAGCGCAGTAATTACTTGTTATATTATCTTTATTAACCATTAAAAAATGACATTTTTATGAATATTTTTTTAAACATAAAAAAAGTATGATAATATTACTTGGTATGCAAAGCGTAATACTTGATACAAAAAAATTGGCACTAAAAAAAAAAAAAAAATTCGTCCTAAATAGCGTTATCTTAACAAAATTAATATTTAAGTGTAATGTTAAGTAATAATAATAATAATAATAGTTTAATGGCTAATAAAATGTAATTTTTTGGGTCAGATAGGAGTGTACAAGTGCGTTAATATTTTCTAAAGAATATTCATCAAGGTCGAAAATGCAACAAATTTACATACTTGTTTCCTAAAATGGACATACTTTATAAGCTTTACTCGTCATTCTAATTAAAAACAATATTTATATGGGCTAATTACTTCTTCAAATTATTTACATAAATAAACTCAAATCCAGTAGTAAATAGTTTATGTCAGTAAATACGAGGGACTTAATGAAAAAGCAAGATCATCAATTGTGGAACAGAAAGTAAAAATTTTACTATAAATAAGAAAACCACAAAGAAAAATTATATTAGTGCTATTTTAAAAGATATTTTTATTTTACAATACTTTTAAATATAATGACTTTTTTTATAAAAAAATTCTTGATAAATCTAAAATGTTTAAGTCGACGTGTTTTTGGATTTATTGACAATGCAGAACAATTAGTAAGATGATTTTTGTATTTATTTTAGAAAGTAGTGATACATATGTTTTTTTCTGAAAGAAAGTCAACGGGGCGGGCAAAGTTTCATGAGAAAATAGACTCCTACGATCTTGATAAGGTTCATTAGGACCGCCTTGGAGACGTATGGCCTGTGCAAATAACACTGATGCTAGACGTTTGACTAACGTCATTTATTGATTCCTTACCCATAAATTGCTGTTGAGACATTATGTATACGTGCTATCATTATAACCATCTTTACCATTTTTAATACAACCAGAGGACATTTTTTTTCTCCATTTCTATTTTACAAAGATCGGTGTCGTTGCAATCAATAACGCTTGTGCAAAATCCTCAATGTATGTGCTTTATCCTTTCTTTAATACTGTTCGTTCGGACGATATGGAGTGCTTTCACTTCCCCGCCACTAACTAACTAGTGATACAATATTAACATCGAATTCCGCGAAGTCCATAAATTTTGTCGGGAAACCTACAGGTCGCAATATAAATCTTCACCAACGTACACAACACACTTGCTAGTAAATCGATTTCTCTGGAAGATCATAAAAGTAAACAGTCATACGGCAATGTGTAAGGTTAAGTGTTTCGAGAAATTGACTCGTTGACAAGCTGGTAGCAGAGGAATAAAGTTTTTATTCCTCTGATGATTAGTTTAATCATCAGAGCCGCAAACTACGTTCAAATTTAAATTGATTTTTAACGAATATTTTAACAAAAAGACTGATTCTGCTTAAGTAATTTTATGAAGGTACTAGGTTTTATAAAAATGATCAACTCTTGCAATTTTCTTTATTTTTATTATTTCACTCGAATTGAATTAAGTACATTCTGTTAAATTTTATTCAGTATATCTTATTTGAAAAAAAGCCTCTTCCCTTTTTAAGATCTATAAATAAACGTCCTTGTGTACGATAAATTAGGTGTTACATGACAAAGAATTATTTTTAAATACTGTATAAATGTTGTAAATAATGTTGATAAAGATTTATGTGCAGCAATTATTTATGATTTATTATGCCAATAATTTACAAACCTGCATTTATCTGTAACTAAAATATAGATACCTTTAACTAGTCTAATGAGTTACTGATAGCTATTAAAATTAATGCTTATAGTTGTACATGAATAGTCATACTTATATTTTTATGTTGAGCAAGTATCATTTTAAATTATTTTTTAGAGAACCATAACTAGAACAAACTGTGACCCATTTCCAATTAATATGACAAAAAAATTTCCCAAGTCGTTTCAGAATTTTTTACCTAAAATTATTTTTGCAGATTTTTCCGACAGATATATTGTGCAGTAAAATAATATATTCGCGAAAGTATCTTCTTTCAGTAAAATTCCGACAATAGTTTTCATTGCAAATTTTAGCAGAATAAAAACAAACTCTTGTGCTAACTACCGGTTAATAAAACCGTACAGAGAATATGAATGGCAATTTTACATACTTCATTCGGACCTGACGCGGAACAGCTCTTTGTCGGTACCGCCGCTACAGATATAACATAAGAACGTGTTACCAAGTTAAGATACTTTAAAAATACTACGACAACATCAAGACTATACAATTACTGTACTGACTTTAGTAAATAATTCAAACGTAGTCAACATTAGGTTTGCTAACAAGCTCAATTCTCAGAAAATAACTATGAAAAGGACAATTTTATTAATAGTCACATTTCATAACAATTAATATTTCAAAATAAATTTTGCTATTTTGTTACCTGCATAGTTCAATAAGTATTTCACTAAAGTAAACTATTAACATAGAGAAATATTTTTTCCGTAATAATAATTTAATACAAATATTTTTATCAATTTACAACA